GCAGGTCATCAGCAGGTCATCAACAGGTCATCAGCAGGTCATCAGCAGGTCATCAGCAGATGATGGCAGATTTCTTTTTAAGTTTATTCATTTTATTTCATTTAAAAACAACAAGTTTTACATACAAAAAATACAAATCAAAAATAAAATGAAAAGCAGCAGAAAAATAAGAAAAAATCTTATATCGGCCTCCTTTTAAGAAGATAAAATAAACTTTAAGTCTTTAAGTGACAAAAACAACAATAATCCCCAAACAAAAATTTGAATGAGTACACATTATTCTGTTTCATATTTCTTCAACAAACCATTTTAAACATTCTCTTAAAGAGCAGATTAATGTCAGAAATAAAAAAAGTCTTAATTCTTATTAATATTTTTATCATAAGCTCTTCCGTACATCATTAACCCTGTTTGCTGTTTGAGGCGAACGCTTCAAAGTCACGAGTTTTAAAACAACAGAAGCGTGAGTCACAAACTGCACGGTGAGTCAGCTCCCTTCTGTTTCCCACGGCTTCAACATGACTGATGGAGCCGCAGCATCAGCATCCGTCAGGCCGCATCCAGCAGTCGCCATGGAAACGCCTACACGTTCAGAGTATGAACTCATCTTTTGTCCACAGAGAGCTTTAGAAAAGTTTGAGCTGTGGTTGGAGAGGGATGTTGGAGCTGGAGGAGCTGCAGAGTGTTGGACTCTGAGCTTTAGTTCAGTTAAAACAAGTCAACAACAATCTCTGTAGGGGTTCCTCTGGACCGGGTCTGGGTTCAGTTCTGGTGCTGCTTCAGTCCTCTCTGTTTCTGTCTGCAGCTGAAGTGAAGCAGATTTGACTCAGACTGCAGTGGTCTCTGCTGTGGAGGACAGGAGCCATTATTCAGGTACAGATGGTCCGCTACTTCCTGTCTGCTGCTTCCTGTCTGCTTCCTGTCTGCTGCTTCCTGTCTGCTTCCTGTCTGCTTCCTGTCTGCTGCTTCCTGTCTGATTCTTCCTGTCTGCTTCCTGTCTGATTCTTCCTGTCTGCTTCCTGTCTGCTGCTTCCTGTCTGCTTCCTGTCTGCTTTCTGTCTGCTTCCTGTCTGCTGCTTCCTGTCTGCTGCTTCCTGGCTGCTGCTTCCTGGCTACTGCTTCCTGTCTGCTCCCTGTCTGCTTCCTGTCTGCTCCCTGTCTGCTTCCTGTCTACTCCCTGCTGCTGCTTCCTGTCTGCTTCCTGTCTGCTCCCTGTCTACTCCCTGTCTGCTCCCTGTCTGCTCCCTGTCTGCTGCTTCCTGTCTGCTCCCTGTCTGCTCCCTGTCTGCTGCTTCCTGTCTGCTTCCTGTCTGCTCCCTGTCTGCTTCCTGTCTGCTCCCTGTCTGCTGCTTCCTGTCTGCTTCCTATCTGCTGCTTCCTGTCTTCTTCCTGTCTGCTGCTCCCTGTCTGCTCCCTGTCTGCTTCCTGTCTGCTCCCTGTCTCCCTGTCTGCTTCCTGTCTGCTCCCTGTCTGCTTCCTGTCTACTCCCTGTCTGCTGCTTCCTGTCTGCTTCCTGTCTGCTCCCTGCTGCTTCCTGTCTGCTCTCTGTCTGCTCCCTGTCTGCTGCTTCCTGTCTGCTGCTTCCTGTCTGCTTCCTGTCTGCTGCTTCCTGTCTGCTTCCTATCTGCTGCTTCCTGTCTTCTTCCTGTCTGCTGCTCCCTGTCTGCTCCCTGTCTGCTCCCTGTCTGCTGCTTCCTGTCTGCTTCCTGTCTACTCCCTGTCTGCTGCTTCCTGTCTGCTTCCTGTCTGCTCCCTGCTGCTTCCTGTCTGCTCTCTGTCTGCTCCCTGTCTGCTGCTTCCTGTCTGCTGCTTCCTGTCTGCTTCCTGTCTGCTGCTTCCTGTCTGCTTCCTGTCTGCTGCTTCCTGTCTGCTGCTTCCTGCTGCTTCCTGTCTGCTGCTTCCTGTCTGCTCCCTGTCTGCTTCCTGCTGCTTCCTGTCTGCTGCTTCCTGTCTGCTCCCTGTCTGCTTCCTGCTGCTTCCTGTCTGCTGCGTCCTGCTGCTTCCTGTCTGCTGCTTCCTGCTGCTTCCTGTCTGCTTCCTGCTGCGTCCTGGCTGCTGCTTCCTGTCTGCTTCCTGTCTGCTTCCTGGCTGCTTCCTGGCTGCTGCTTCCTGTCTGCTGCTTCCTGCTGCTTCCTGTCTGCTTCCTGCTGCTTCCTGGCTGCTGCTTCCTGTCTGCTTCCTGGCTGCTTCCTGGCTGCTGCTTCCTGGCTGCTGATTCCTGTCTGCTCCCTGTCTGCTTCCTGTCAGCTGCTTCCTGTCTGCTCCCTGTCTGCTTCCTGTCTGCTGATTCCTGTCTGCTCCCTGTCTCCTGCTTCCTGTCTGCTGCTTCCTGTCTTCTGCTTCCTGTTGATTCCTGTCTGCTTCCTGTCTGCTTCCTGCTGCTTCAGTTTTTCCATCCTGTATATTTGGTAAAATATAAATTGCTACCTTTTTAAAATAAAAAAACAACATTTTCACACAGTGCTGTACGTTTGGTCCTGGTTCATTACAGATATTTGTTCTCAGACACTCAGGTTAACTTTGTTCAGAGAATCAGAGTTCAGACTGATGCAGTAATGAGTTACACTGATCTGAGTTANTGACTCAGACTGCAGTGGTCTCTGCTGTGGAGGACAGGAGCCATTATTCAGGTACAGATGGTCCGCCACTTCCTGTCTGCTGCTTCCTGTCTTCCTGTCTGCTTCCTGTCTGCTGCTTCCTGTCTGCTGCTTCCTGTCTGCTGCTTCCTGTCTGCTGCTTCCTGTCTGCTGCTTCCTGTCTGCTTCCTATCTGCTTCCTATCTGCTGCTTCCTGTCTGCTTCCTGTCTGCTTCCTGTCTGCTGCTTCCTGTCTGCTTCCTGTCTGCTTCCTGTCTGCTGCTTCCTGTCTGCTGCTTCCTGTCTGCTGCTTCCTGTCTGCTTCCTATCTGCTGCTTCCTGTCTGCTGCTTCCTGTCTGCTTCCTGTCTGCTTCCTGTCTGCTGCTTCCTGTCTGATTCTTCCTGTCTGCTTCCTGTCTGATTCTTCCTGTCTGCTTCCTGTCTGCTGCTTCCTGTCTGCTTCCTGTCTGCTTTCTGTCTGCTTCCTGTCTGCTGCTTCCTGTCTGCTGCTTCCTGGCTGCTGCTTCCTGGCTACTGCTTCCTGTCTGCTCCCTGTCTGCTTCCTGTCTGCTCCCTGTCTGCTTCCTGTCTACTCCCTGCTGCTGCTTCCTGTCTGCTTCCTGTCTGCTCCCTGTCTACTCCCTGTCTGCTCCCTGTCTGCTCCCTGTCTGCTGCTTCCTGTCTGCTCCCTGTCTGCTCCCTGTCTGCTGCTTCCTGTCTGCTTCCTGTCTGCTCCCTGTCTGCTTCCTGTCTGCTCCCTGTCTGCTGCTTCCTGTCTGCTTCCTATCTGCTGCTTCCTGTCTTCTTCCTGTCTGCTGCTCCCTGTCTGCTCCCTGTCTGCTTCCTGTCTGCTCCCTGTCTCCCTGTCTGCTTCCTGTCTGCTCCCTGTCTGCTTCCTGTCTGCTCCCTGTCTGCTGCTTCCTGTCTGCTCCCTGTCTGCTTCCTGTCTACTCCCTGTCTGCTGCTTCCTGTCTGCTTCCTGTCTGCTCCCTGCTGCTTCCTGTCTGCTCTCTGTCTGCTCCCTGT